AACAGAAAATGCTACGTGCTCAATTGCTAATTCAACAACAACAATCTTTCCAATATAATGATACAACTTTTCCACCACTATCGCCTCTCTTCACTAGCCAAGTAGTAAATCCACATGCAAATATAACAGCAACTAATGATCAACTAAATAATAAGCATTCATATGCATCACTTGTCGCACAGAAAAACAAGATCAATCTCGAAAATGTCGAACAATTAATCATGAGTTTTTCAAATTCAATAAATAGACAATTATTAAATATCTCAGCAACATTAACTTCACAAATTTCTACTTTAACAGCAAAAATTGAAGAAGATACACAACGGACAAATAACATTCAGTATTAAGTTCAAAAAGTAATAATTCCCGCGATTCAAGAAATGGCGAAAATGATAGACTCTCTCTCTCAATAGAAACATTTCAAATCAAACTCAACGAAGTCAGCATCAGGGTGAAACACTATCATGTTTAGAGAGAATAAAACTTTTCTTAATAGAATGTCGAGATCAAAAATTTAATACACCAATTTCTAAGAGGCGGAGAGAACGAAATAATTTGACACAAATGCAAACCAATGTTCTTTCATAAGTTTTAGTCATGAATCAGTTTAATATATACAAATTTATAGAATTAAAAGAAAAACTCGAACTAATAACTAAAGATTGAGATATCAATAATCGGAATACAGCTCTAGAAATCATAGAAGAATGGTGCTGGACTTATTCACGACCGACATTGTTTGCAAAATGGTAAGCTCGCTGTCAACAACCACAGACAAATAACATCAATTTGTCACTGCTTCCACATATGAGATCATGGCAAATTTCAAATTGTAACCAGTTTTCACTAAATATCTGATCTCTGAAAACTGATTTTCCCGGGAGAAACCAGCTATTTACTCCTGTGAACATTCAGAATTGCGAAGAGAAAACAGATATCAGGTATTTACTTGTCTCTATAATTTTCAATTCTCAACTGAGACGTACATAGAATACATACTCTTATACTTTTCATTTTCGATAGCTAGCAGAAGGCAGATAACAGATATTTACTTCTCTACATAATTTTGAAATGTAGCCTGATGTCATTAATTTTGGAAAGCTGGCAGAAGGCAGATATCAGATATTTAGTTTCCTTTGCAATTAAAAGAGCAGGCGTTTCAGGTAGCATAGCTTGTATTTATTGAGTAATTGTAGTTAGTCCAGTGAAAACTCTCTTTATGCCCGCGAGTGTGATACAGTAGCAATTATGCAAAGGTTATATGGCGTAGGTAACATTCGCGGCAGATTCGCCTTTCGAAAGAAGGTAATAGCTTCAGATTGAGGCGACGAAGTTTTCAAAACCTTTTATTATATAGAACGGGAGAATGATAAAAAAGACACTCTTTAGAAGACTGGTTTCTTGAAACGGCCCATGTTTAGACTAAATGTTCATCGAAATAGTCATGCAAGATAGAATTCTGTGAGACCTTCCTCTCGATGTCAAACTCATTGCAGTTAATCATCAGGATAGTTCCTTAGCTTGTGAATGACTAATGGAGCAGGCTTTTTATACTCATATGACGTCCTTCAATTTTTCTTAAGTGTAGTAACCCCCGTCCCACAATCGAAGACTCCTGGTCTTCTATTATGTCCAAATGTAAAAATTATCCAGGCGGCTCTTGTATTATGTCTTATATGTTTTCATAATTTTTAATTAAAAACGTTTTTCTGAAAATCGAGGCTATTTTAAGGATTTTCAGAGGCCAGATATATTTATAAACTCATTCTGTGAAGATTCCTGACTCAAAACTCTGAAAACTGGACATATTTTGATCTAAATACACTAATTAAAGCTCTCAATCATCAAAAAATTAATTAATACAAGGGGGGTCTTCTAATACGCTTTTCAAACTTTTCTTTTTTTTGGAGGGGGAGGGGGGAGCGGGGGTACTTACTTGGATAATGATTATCAGTTATAGAAGTCACTGAGAGCTATCGAACGGTATGGTATTCAAAGATATTTATTAGTAGGTAGTTCTTTGCCTTAGAAATGACTTGTGGGATAGGATATTTATGCTCACATGATAGCTAAATAGTCATTATATGAGATTTTCCAACTTTCAAAATATTTGTGCCAGATAGAATTGCATGAGATGTTTTGATTTGATGTCAAATGCAATCCTATCGCCGGTCGCAATGAACCTCTTCATGAAAGTTCTTGAAAAGCATAGGATTTTTTTCCTTCAACTGTAACTTCTGCCCTCATTTGAATATTCATTTTGAGTAGCTATCTAAATGAGTGGTTTTGATGCAGAGTTGTCTTGCTTTTTGAATGTTAGGACTTTTAATTCCGACAATTTATCGGGTTTTCAATTCTAGCTTCAAAAAACTGTGCTTTGAATCGTTTTGAAATGGTTATTAATGTGAGAAAAACGGCAGATAACGATGCGAGGCTCAGAAAATCGAAACTTAAATTGGCAGAGTCAGTAATCAAGTAGACAGGGAGCTTGACAAAAGCGAAACTGGCAAGGGGAAAAAGCAGCTCCCGGTATCCTCAGTATCTTGACTGTATTCTACGTATCTTGAGTATGTCAGCTGTATTTTTCATGTCAAAGTGTATCCTACCTTTTATTATCTCATTATCTATATTCTACTACAAAAACTAGTGTTACCTTCACAAACTTTACAAATATTTGAATTTCGAAGTCATTGAACAATGAATAAAGAAAATGGGCCTGTTATTGTCAGAAACCAAAACATGTCAGCAATCAGATAGATGTCAGAGCTACTTTTCGAAGCACAACATTTTGTTTGCTTTCATCCTACCAAAAGCACAGTTATAAGTCAACAAATCACAGTATCATAGTGTATTTTCTCTTGCTGACCACGTATAAAGCACACACTCACATCCTTGCGAAATCCACAACGGAGACAGACTTCACGCATCATTACGATGAGTTACCTCGTCTATTTACAATACAAGTTTGACTGCTCCTCTGTACTCATCAAGAGCTATGTATGTAAACGTTTTTAGAGTCGTAGTGATTGAACTGGCTAAGATCTAAAGTGGGAAAGGAGACAGTTATAACTAGTAGTAGGGTGTGGGGTGTGGGTGTGTGGGTGTGGGTGTGGGTGGGTGTGTGTGGGTGGGTGTATGGGTGTGGGTGTAGTGTGTGTGGGTGTGGATGTGTGGGTGTGAGGGTGTAGGTGTGGGTGTGGGTGTGAGTGTGGGTGTGGGTGTGGATGTGAGTGTGGGTGTGGGTGTGGGAGTGGGTGTGGCTGTGGCTGTAGGTGCGGGTGAGGGTATAAGTGCCATTGCCTCATCCACACCCACACCCACGCCCACACCCACCCACACCCACACCGACACCCGCATCCACACCCACACCCAAGGTTGTGTATGAAAATTAGGAAATGATTTTCATGCCACAGAACTTAAAATCGTTTCGTAAAACAGTACGAAACCTTCAAAGTTCGGTAGAACACTAATTTTTCTTACACTGTAGGGTCACCCTACTATTGCCAAAAAATATATGGTATTTGTAACTGAAATGTGTTCTTGATCATGTATGATATGTAAAAGAAAAACATCGTATTGTTTAACAAAACAGAATGGGTGTTAATAGATGATTTTCCCTTTGATCAGTGATGAGCCCAGAAACGGCCAGCCTATGCTCATCTCTTATCTCAAAATGATATGCGCTTTTGCTCACCTATTAATTTATGTATATCGGTTATGACTGTTTATATAATATTTTCCTGGTACAAATTATCTGCAAGCGCAAGATTCAATATTGAAAATAAAAATTCGTTGTAAAAAGCCATCACCTTATCAGTAATGAACGCATGTATACTAAAAACAGTGGTAACAGTTATCAGGAAATAAAAAAACTAACAGAATTAAATATTGTTCTAAAACTAAGTATACGCTGCTATCCCTAGAGCAGTTTCTTGTTCTTTCGTTTTATTTCAGAAATCTGTAGTGAAAAATACGATCATGACTAAACATCAATAGGATAAGGTTTCAACTAATAATTCACACTTTCTGTTAGTTCTGTTAACGCTAATGCGTTTTGTTACGGTGAAAATCACTGCAATAATACATGATGATTTGAATAGTATTCATGAGAATGTTCGTAAAATAATGTTATGACCATTACCAGATCAACTTCCTGGTGTATTAATAGCACAAGCAGTAACTAATCTTAGTGCATTGGATCTAACTACTTGTCAATAGTCTGATTTAAATTACTCTACACGTGGCCCTGAAAACTGGGATCCTGTTCTACATAGTGTTTGGTATTGCTACAATGGTTTCAGCATTAACTGTCCCTGGTGGATTAATGAATAATACAGCACTATCAACAGCTATTCATTGTGCATTGATAGTATGGATAGAAAAAGATTGGCAAAATCCAAATTGATGATGGAATTATATTCAAGATTCACTGATTTCTACAGGTATAATGCTCATGTTAGATATACAGCGAATGACTAAATATGAGATTGATGCAATTGTTAATATGTCATATCGTGCTAATTGGTAGATTAAAGATTGGGGAGGTGATGCTAATTTAGTTATATTTTATTTATATGTTTGAATGTAGCCACACGTCAATCAGAAGCATTATTCAATTTATCACAATTACTTTTCGGCTTAGCTCGAGCAGAACAATCAAATTATACATTTCGTAATTTACAATTAGGTCCACCTTCAAGACAATTTCGTGAAGCAAGATTCAAAAAGTTTCGTAAGCATTCCTCTGATCTCTTTTGATTAATATCATCAATTGATGATCGTGTATTTAGCGAACAATAACAGATCTATTGATTTCTTTGCTATTCTTCAACTGTTTGTCAATGATATATTTAAATCCGGTCCTATTGATATTATCTTTGTGATGTATAAACTTCTATTTATGATAATTTTTTTTTAATATCTTATGTTTGTTAAAAGAATCCTCGTATTCGATGTGTAAAACAAAACTTTCTTGATTTATTAACTAATGTTTCAAGAATAAGTGAAATAGGCCGTTTTATTCTTGATCGTTATTCTCATTTTCTTATTCATCTTACTCAAAGCATTTGTGATGAACATTTAACTGAAGAAAAAAATCCCATCATTATATCTTCTTTTACGTTTATATAAAGTTTTTGTCTAGAAAAATCTTCTAAAATATTATCAACATATGATTGATATGCAATTAATTGATATTTAATTGATCTTTTTGTAAATGAACAATATAAATAACATGATTATATGATTTATTTTATTAAATTTCAATCATTTGCACTTTATTGTCTTCAAATTATATCACAATGTGCTGAATATATTAATATATGGTCTACAAGTATGTCATTAACATAAATTTTCTTGCTGAGATTTTTATGTTTGAATTTATAAAAGCACAAATTCGCTTAGTAAATTATTGTTCTACACTTTTATATAAATCTGTTTTGAATATTGGTGATAGATATGACCATTGTCATGCACGAGAAAAAGAGATGAATTATAGAATGTATACAGTACAACATAGACTTGCTCATTTATTAAATTCTGATATATAAACATTTCTAAGTGTTGTTCGATGTTGCAAAGAGATTGAAAAATTTTATCGTGAAAATAAACATTTCAAAGAATGAAATAACTGCAATGAGACAAATATGATAATTGGAGTGAATTTTACTCTCGTCATCTATCAATTGCTTGTGCATTTGATCAAGTTGTTAATATTATGTTTGATCAACATCAACGGAAAAGAAAAGAAAAGACACGATCATCAACTATCGACAAAAGATTATCCATATAATCAAATTGAAGATGAAAACAAAGAATATAAAGAAAATCAACAATATCATAAATGTTCAAATTCTTTATGTCAAATTATTGAAAATAATGTAAGTGATCGATAGATTTCTATCACCTATTGTCTTTTCTATTTCACTTGAATTTTTAAGCATATTACAATTTGAATCGAGCCATAGCCAAGGGGGAGCCGAGGCACAGTTGGCAGCCAGGCGACAAAATATTTCTTCTTAACATTTAATTTTCTCATCTACGCGACGTGCAAAAAAATTGAATAATATCTCAAATGAAAACGTATTACAAAACGCATATTTACTTATTATTAAAAATCCTTTCTCAAAAAAGTTTTATTCAAAATAATGGAAATGTTTATTGCTCGTGACCTTTGCTTACTTCCCACTGTGCGAGGAAACCCGGACGCCCCTTGGGGCACAAATTCCCTGGAGAGGGTACGGTAAGTAAAATTTTTGCGCCTCCGAAAAATGCTTTTCCCCATGGTGACCTCCCATAGAAAATTCTTGGCTACAGGCTTGAATTTGAAGATTTCCCTCACTGTCATAAATTATTTTAAAATATCCGAACACAAAAATAAAATCTTTAACTTGCTTCCATTTTCGATTTAGTCGATCAACAGATATCACATAGTTTATCTCTTTATTAACTATCTTGTCATTGATATTCTACCTAAGAGAATTTATTCAAAGAAAATATTATAAGCTTTCGTCTCATTATTCATGTCGAGACATTTTCAATTTTGACTTCAACAAGTCTTTATTTTTCAATCAAACCAATCACAATATGTGCTTCTTACATATTTATATTATTCATTTTTCATTTCAACTATATAAAATCAATGACAAAATGTTTATTCGACAAGATCGTTGATCCTTTGTAAATAAAAAACTAAAATTTCAAGATTTGGGGAATCACCTTCACGTCGGAACACCCCTGCTGGTAGGTACACTAAGAAAAAATAGGCGCGTGTATGTATATTGTCAGTTTGGAGAGAACAGGGTGTCGGTGGTAAGATGTGGGAATTGGGTGCAGACCTAGCTAGAGCTATGAACTATCCACTGGAATCCACGCCTCCAAGTAAATACCAGTACGGAAAAGAAGCATTAAGTGTCACCTAGTGATGTCTGGAACATTTTCGACTTTTTTTATAAAATACACATTTTCGCTATTTTTATATGATCGACATGTTTTTTTTCGCTGTAATTTTTTTCGACATTTGATTTTCGCTATTTTTTCTTTCGACCATTTTGATACATACCTGCCATTTCTATTGGTTAGCTTATTTTGAATTAGTGTAGTCGTTTGTTTTCATCATTTCGAGGTCAACACACATTGAAACAAAGGGAAAGATGATTTAAGTCATAATGCACCAATCACACAGCTTAATTCAACTTTAACGTAATTCGCTTTTTTTTAATGTGTTTGACCTCTTTCAGGCCATATAGAACAACATGGCAGCATCAATATTTATCCGTCATTCTTCTTATAGACGGTATGAGATGTATAAATATAGATTAAGATAAATGCATTCTGTGAGTTAGTTATAGACATCAACAATTTAAATAATGATAATCTCAATATACTTGATTTACCTGATGAAATTTTATTCATCATTTTTAAGAAACTTAATACAATTGATGTATTCCATTCACTAGTTAGTGTTAATCAACAATTTGATCGATTAGCACTTGATCCTTTTAATGTTCGTGATCTGGATATGACTGATATTATGATCATTGATTCGCTCTATGATAAAACTCCTTCAATAGATACTGAAACTCTTTCAAAAATTTGTCCGAAACTCTTACCTCGCATTCATCGTCAAGTACATAAACTGACTGTTGAACAATGTTCAATGAAAGATATTCTTCTTGCTGCCAATTATTCTGAACTTTATTCTTTATCACTAATTAATTTTCAAGTAAAAATACTTTATCAATATTTAAGAGGTATACTATTTCATTTTATTCGCTTTAATTAACGAGATGATGAATTTAATTATCGAAATTTTATATAAATGGCCATTGACAAAATGCATATAACTTTTTAACAGAGACAGTTAGCGATCTGTAGTCTTCATCATTCGAAAGAACGGATCGACAACATCTCCCTGTCCTTTCTTTCAAACAACGAAGGCTGCAGGTCTCGAGCTCTCAAAGTTATAACGTTATAAGCATTTTGTCCAATGATCTTTTAAGATTCTGATAAATCATGTAAATTAATAATTATCTGTGTTTTTTTTTAAATTAAATGTGATTTAATTCTTCGTGATCTTCTTACCAAACAAATAACGCATCTTAATATTGATATTAAAAGAATAACAAAACGTTTTTCCATGACTGTTTCAAAGATTTTTGAATTAATCATATCTTTATGTAAAAATTTAACTGAATTGAATTTTTGTGATATGTTTCACGCACGAACATATGAGACTTCGGTTTTTTATCGATCATCAAATTATATGTCGTCAACTTTAATCAAATTGAAAATCCATGTTCTCAGTTTAGATGATTATCTTTATCTTCTTGATGGTCGTCTCGATTCTTTATCAACATTAATTATTAATGTGGAACATGTTTTTGATTCAGTAATATATAGAGGTTCAAGGGTGAGTAGAATTTCAATGATCATGTTTAGCATGTGAAGTTAAAATTTTGACCTAAGGAATTTTCTTTCCGGACTTTCGGCCCAATACAAAACAAAAAATATTAGACTGAGTGTAATTCGATTTTAATATGAAAAAATTTTTCTTCTAGGACGAAAATTCCTTGAGCCGAAATTCATGTAACTCTTCGACAAGAAAGATGCTAAATCAGATAAATAATTTTAATTTTATTTATTTTGTAGAAAAAGCTTCCAAAATTGAAATATCTTTCATTCACCACATCTAATGATACATGGCAATATGATAATCTAATTGTTCCATTACTTTGTCGCATGATAAATCTCGAAGAATTGAAATTATTTCTATTAATAAATAGATTTAACTCGATCTATGTTGATGGTATTCAATTATATAATCAATTTCTTATTTATATGACACAATTAAAGAAATTTACATTTTGTATCAACACAGAAGTCTACAACGAAGTTACAGTTGAACTCCCAGTTGAACTCCCATCGAATGAAGATATTCAACGTAGTTTCATTGGAAGAGGATATCAACAAGTTACTTCATATGTTCATACTAATTCAAAGTTTATAAGCCAATGTTTAATCTATTCACTTCCGTATGATTTCGAATATTTTGCTAAGATCGACAATTCTTTTCAAGGTGGTATGTTTGATAAAGTTCGACAATTAAAGATGTCTGATGAAATTCCTTTTGAACATAAATTCTTTCCATTGGTCTCTAAGAATTTTCCTTTTCTTCAATTCTTAAATATATGTAATTATCATCCACAAAAGTATAAGATACATTCACCAACATTAATCACATTTCCTTATCTCACATTTCTTGATCTACGACGTGCACATGTTGACTATGTTAAACTATTTCTTTTGAAAAACAATGCTTATCTACCTCGTTTGTCAAATCTCGGAATCAGATACAAATCACTCACAACGATAACAAGGAATTTCACCAAAGATGCATTGGATTTCAATTTCGGTACATTGAAAAGTCTTGATGTATGGCGATCATTTATTCGTCCAAAAAAATTCCATCAATATTTTCCTTTGTTATTAGTTATCAATAAAAGAAAATATTTTTTTAATCTAAACTGCTGTAACAAAGAACAGAGAACATAGGTATAATAATGTTTTGATCTTTTCTACATGTAGCACATTACTGGCTTTGTTTCATATGAACATATGCTAACAACGAAAGTTTTGATGTGTAAAGTGCAGAAAATTTCAGCATGAACAATGTCTAGCAGAAGAATATTCAGCCTAAAAAGATTAGCCGAATATGTATCTGGATTTGTGGCTCACGGCGAGTGCACGTTTAATTATAAGACTGGTGTTTATTTGAGTAATAAAAATATTGGAATGAAGAACAATTTAAATATGATTTAGTAATAATTTGTAGGTAATAAAAAAACTGTATTTAAGCAACTTTATATTAAATGTACAATAATTAGTTCATTAAATAGCAATAGGAATTTCATATTTTAGCAATAAGAAAAAGAAAAATTAAATAATCATTTTTAGTTACACCGGAAATTAAAAAAAAAGAAATATAGCATAATATTGTGTCAGTAAAGCCTTATTTTTGCTATGAATGGTCTGCCTCTTTTCATATGTATTTGTATAAATAAATCTGTTAGATCTGTAATATGTTCTTGTCTATATGCTATTATTTCAAAAGATAAGAGTCTTTCTGTGATCACACACACACGTAGATATACACTTGTCAGTTGACGGAATATACCAGGAATAGATATGATACGAATGGAATATACCTGAATGAACATATGAAAAGAAGAAATGTAGAATCAAAGAGAAAACAATATGGGAACGTATCTGACAGTAGGGAGCTGTGCAGGTTTTCTGGTCCCGACCAAGGGATCGTGAGCCATTCTATCATCTCGAATATTAAACTCTAATTCGAATATACATTTTGTAGAGCAATGTTTGCTCTTTCAGATCATGTGATTAGAAATGTACAAGAGCCATCCACAGCCGAAGAGTTTTAAATAAAAGGTCCAGATGCACATGTGCACCTGATCAGACCCGAACCTATAGATCCAGACGTTTTATTTAAAAATCTTCAGCTTTGAATGACTTTTGTATAGTTCTAATCCGATAGTCTCAAAGAGCAAACATTGCTCTACAAAATATATATTCGAATCAGAGTTTAGTATTCAAGATGATAGAATGGTTCACGAACCTTTAGTCGGGACCAGAAAATCTGGTGCAGCTCCCCAGCTGGCAGAAAGAAAAAAAAAGACGAAAGACCACTAGTCGACGTTCTTGGCCTCATTCTTCCCAGAATCTTGACTTTCTTGGTCGATCAGCCAAGATTCTTTTTTATCTTGGAGATAAAACAAGAGCCTTTTCCTGATTTACCAGCTAGAATTTTACCTGATTTTCAAGAATGCAAGATTCTTGACAGGAAAGACAAATTTTGATTTGCCAGCCAAGATTCAGTCTATACGATTCTTGCCTGCACAGACAAGATTTATCTTTCCTGTCAAGAATCTTGCTACCGTCTTGAACAAGAATCTGGAAAGAATGAGTCCAAGAACATCGATTAGTGTCGTGGATATATACGTCCGAAAAGGGTGTGGGTGTGGCTGTGGTTGTGGGTGTGGGTGAGAGTGGGGGGTGGGTGTGGGTGTCGGTGCCATAGGGCAAAAAAGACTCACACCCACACCCAGAATCGCCCACACCCCACATCCACACCCTACCCACACCCAAACCTACACCCACACCCACACCCACACCCACCCTCACACCCACACCCACACACACCCACACACCAACAGACATAGCCACACCCATCCACACCCACACCCACACCCACCGACACCCACCCCTGTTTGTCAACATATGCCTCTCATTTCTTCTTACTCGCCTACTGCCTCAAAATGATTTTGACTCTATTGTTTTGCTCGGTAGCTATTTCTGGACAGCTGAAGCCGAAGAAAATTGAGACTCAGCGAGTTGGTAAAATGTATTTTTTTCGTTTTTTGAGTGTCGCCGAAAAGTAAAAGCCAGTTAAAGGTAGACATTCTGTAAAAGCAATTGTTAATCAATGATAAAATATTTCACATTGTTCTATCGCCGCAGCAGAACACGAGCATAAGAGCATTTACAAAAAGAAATCACAAGGATCAGGACAATGGCTCGTATTTTCAAGGACGAATATGACCAACAAGATGAAAATCTGGAAACATTTAGTCTTGTTTGGCTAGATGCCCAAGTAAATGATGATAGCATTGGTCGACATGCACATAATCAATTGCGTATGATCATCAATCACTTGAAGACATTTGAAAATGCAAGTGATTGCCAAAAATTCATTGAGCAAGTACCCCAGGATCGTTATATTGTTTTTATTGTTAGTGGTCAATTGTGTCGAGAAGTGGTGCCTTGCATTCATGATCTCCATCAAGTCATTGCAATCTACGTGTATTGTATGAATAAAAGAAGATACGAGCAATGGGCCAAAGAATTCCACAAGGTTCGATAATTTCATTTGTATTAGTTTTTGTGAAAGTGTCTTTATAGATCAAAGGTGTTATTGTTCAGATAGATGAACTGATTTCGCAAATCGAATCAGATCACCAGAGCCGGAAAAAGTTAGAAGAATCCTTACCATTCAATATATTTTATGCAGGCCAATCAACAATAGGGCTTAACGGTAAATTCGTTCATGCTCAAGTGCTGATGGATGTCCTTCTTCGAGTGAAATATACCGAAGAAGATAAGAATGACCTGATTCGTCTGTGCAAAAAGCAGTACAAAGGTAACACGAGTCAATTAGAAATTCTTAAAGAATTTCGGCACAACTATTCGTCTGGCGACGCATTGTGGTGGTATACACGCGAATGCTTCGTGTACAATATGATAAACCAGGCACTGCGTGTACAAGATGTTCATATAATCTATCTCTTTCGTTCATTCATCCAGGATATTTATCGACAACTCAAGGAAAATCAATGTCCTTCTCGAATTCGAGTGTATCGAAGTCAAAGAATGTCGAAAGATGAACTGAACTCTTTGAAAAATTTAATTGGCCAGTTCATCTCGGTGAACTCATTTTTCTCGACCAGCCTCAAGCGTAAAAATGCCTTAGCATTTTTGAAGTCGAGCGCGAACCCGAATGATTTGGAACAAGTACTGTTTGAGATTACTGCCGATCCTGACGTAGTCACCACTAAACCATTTGCCAATATCAGTTTGCACAGTTATTTTGCCGATGAATCAGAAGTGCTTTTTATGCTGGGTTCAATTTTTCATCTTACGGACATTCGCTGTGATGATCATGATATTTGGATCATTAAAATGAGGCTGTGTGGTGATGCTGAGAATGAT